AGCATCGAAATGCAACATTTAAAAAAAAAAACTCTACACAAGCCCTACTTTGTTGTTTACAATCTTATTTACCATCCTTTTGCTTTCATTTTGGGCGGAGCCTGCCCGTATAGGCCATTATGGGGAGTAACCCATCCACCCCGGAGGTTTAAGGTACTAGAGCCTCCATGGTTAAGTAGCTGGTTGTCAAACTTTCATTGATTAATTACACTCGGCATGTTCAACCGTGCAAGTTTGCTCGGTGACCAACAGGAAGTGCAATGAAGTCACTAAGAAGTGCGTTCGTAACTGCCTTGGTCAAGCAATCTTTTTTAATGAAATATGATTTACACTGTAAGGGTAAAAGTAGCTTTCACTCTCATCTGATGAAGATTTCAGAACATTTTAACTTTCCTGACTTTAGAACAAATCCAAATTTGTTATGACATATCACTTAATCGCAAAACCCCCTTCAACATTCTCAAAAAGGCTAGAATTTTATAGCTATTTTAAAAACGACCATATTACTTCTAATTGCCAGGAACAGCTGAGACAAGAGCAGAAGACTGAAATTACGAATAAGCAACCACGAACTTGATAGAACTAGGTACATACAGTCAAATAGAATCAAACTACAGATCAAACTGTACTTAAGGTAATAGACATTGCCCTTTTTGTAGGTCCGGCCAATCAAATAGATGTCAAAGTTCATTTGTTTTTTTCATTGTCCTAAATACTCTATGTGAGGAATAATTTTTACAATAACTTTTAGACTCTATTCAAAATATCACGCAGTAACCCGTAAACGATTTGATCAATGAACCGATTAATTCCTCTAATTACTATATCAATATACCGTTCATTAAATATATTTCAGCTCGCTTTGATTTTCGCGACAAATATATTTGACGGGGTAACTTAATTGCAATGTGATGAAATTTTAGTGCTCCGGCCTGATTTCCTTAAAATAGCTTTTACAATGCTGTGTACATGTATGGTCACGCAATTTATTATTGTTTTTTTTTTTTTGTTGTATAAGGTCCTCTTCTGATTTTTGGACCATCTTTTTTGAAAACCTTTAGATTCTTTTTTCCTGCAGACCTGGAATGAGAGGCATGCCCCCCTTAATTGGAAATATTTTAACAGGTAGTGCTTCCCCCGGGACTAAAACAAACCATGAATCAGTCATGCATTCATTCTTAGATTTGTTTCTTGCCGTGAAGCTGATTCACTTGAATCGAACGTTTCCAACGAGGGCGACAAAAACCTCGGAGGTTCTTATCGCCGCTTGTCCTTCATCTGTTCGTTCTCCTGTTCATGAGCGTTAGCTCAATAACTTAAAGTTAAAAGGTTTTCCTATATTACGAAGTATTCTTTAAGGAGCGATTTCAGTACACGGCCACTTTCATTACTGATAATAATGTCGAACAAGATGGCAACAGGTTATCAGCAAAATTCAAGATGGCAAAGAAACGGCGGAAAGCGATTTGTTCAAAACGAAGTCGCACCATATCTTGGCAACGATATATTGGATTTAGGCTGTGGTACTGGCGAGCTGTCTGCTTATCTTGCCAAACTAGCAGGGCCAAAAGGTAGAGTTTTAGCAGTCGACCCTGACAAGGAGCGCATTCGAGTGGCTAAAGAATCGTACAAAGAAGTAGAAAACCTCACGTTTGCTGTAGGAAGCACCTCCAGCTTTCCAGGCCTGGGTTTGGAGACTTACAACGTTATCTTCTCAAATTTCGTTCTTCACTGGATAAAGAACATTGAGGATAAGAAAAAAGCCTTCGAAAATATGTTTAGAAGCTTGAAGCCGACGGGAAAAATTTTTGTGAGATATGGTGATCGAATGCCTACTCACTTTGACCGCGTCTTTCGCGAGCTCAACCCAGAAAATTTGGACTGTCTGATGAGCATTAATCAGTTTGAACCAAGGCCCGTAATTGAACAGATGTGTCTGGCGGCTGGATTTCGCGTTCTGAAGAGTTTTGACGAGAAATTTGAAGATCGAGTGTTTGAAAACGGCGAGAGTCTTTGTTTGTTTTTCTGGGC